TGAAATCTCCCATTCAGCTTCCACAGCAAGAATCTGGGTCTGGCAGACCCTGCTCTGAAGTGCTAACTGATACCCACACTGGCTGTCCTGGTTGAGAGCCAGTTTGGAGTAGTGGTTAAGAGCATGGACTATAATCTGGGAGAACTGGGTTTGATTCCCCACTCCTCCACATGCAGCTGCTGGTCCGACCTTGGATCAGTCATAAGTTTTTCAGAGCCTTTCTCTCAAGGGCCGTTCTCAAGAGAGCTCTCTCAGTACCCCACCTACCTCACAGGGTGTCTGTTGTGGGGAGGGGAAGGGAAAGGGATTGTAAGCCACTCTGGAACTCCTTTGGGTAGTGAAGGGTGGGGTATAAATCCAATCTCTTCTTGTGCTGCTGGAGGTGAACAGGAGCAAGCAGTTGGGCCTAATTGTCATGCTAGTCAGGTCATCAAGTCACCCAGAGGACAATGCCAGGTCTCAGGTAGCCAAACTCAAGGTGGAGCCTGAAGGCCGCCTGGTATCACAACTGAACCCCAGACAACAGCTCTCTCTCTCTCTGGAGAAAATATCTCCTTTGGAGGGTGGACTCTACAACATTCTATTCAGTTGAGGCCTCTCCCCTCCCCAAACTCTGACTTCCATAAACTCCACTACAAAATCTCCAGGAATTTCCCAACCTGGAGCTGGCACCCCTAGTTAGGATGGGCCACAATGAGTTTTCTGGCAATGGCCAAAATAGGCCTGGAAAGGAACTCCCCCCCCCCCACACCTTTTACTGACAGAACCAAGCTTGGTTATTTAGCAATAGCCACTAAAACAAAAGTGAGCCTAGCGGGATGAGGAGGAGTTGAAGCGTCTTCATCAGGAGAGACAGCTCTCTCAGTGGGAGAGAGGAGCAGACCCAGCAGCCAGCCAATGGCATGCAAGTACTCTTGAGTGGTGGTTAATGGGCCAATGGCTGATGGAGCACACAGCACAGTCAATGGGAGAGCTGGAAAGTGCCAATACATTAGGCTTTTATATATATCAGATACCTTATAAGTTGCCAACCAGGATGGGTGAGAAGCAATTGAGATGAAAACAGAAAAATAAGGGAGGGGATTAGAAGTTTGGATGGCAGATCATAAAAGGAAGGCAGCAAATGGGGGAAAGTGTGGGAAAGAATTAGATAAATTATGGAAAAGACAACAAAGGGGTCTTTTTGCTTTTTCTTATTATTATTTTGCTACCACACATTAACAGGTCAGCAAGACCTGGTTGTACAAACAAAACTATTTAACTTGGTGGAACTAAAGGAAGAGGGAACCCATAGACTGCTAGAGATAGTGACATTATTAGGAGGCTGCGTCCTGGCAATGACTATTGCTTGTCCTGGCTGGCCTTGCCTTGATGGGTTTAGCAGGGCCCACCAAGTGAAGGCTGCAGAAAGGCAAGACCAGTAGAGTTAGAGCAACTCCTGCTTACTGTCCTTTGCCTTCCCTGTGCCCGTAGTGGCTGCAGTGCAGAACTGCCCCAGTAAAATCTAAATATTGTTTTGGAAAAGATCTGGGTATTCTGTAGTTACTGGTAGTCTGAAACCCTTTGAGCTTGCTTGCCCACTATACAGGTAAAGATCCCTAAATCACATGTTGTGCTCCCCTAATTGGTTTTCCAAGCCAGCCAGGCTGTGGATGTGGGGAGAGGTTTCCCCTGTGAGTTCAAATTCCCTTCAAAGTGGCTGCAGTTCTGGGAGAGCTACCTGAAAATGTCGAAGGATACATGCAAAAGAGAGCATATGCGATAACAGAAAAGAATTGGATGACATTGCATGAAAAAAACTTGCTGGATCCAATCCAATAACTGTTTCTAAGCACATGAGTATGCCCATTTAATGCCCAAAACGATGGTCATGCAGTCCCTCTTCGTCAAAAACAATCAAAATACCACCAAATAGCAATATTTCTTGTTCTGTGTGCTGGATGTTCATTGCAAAAACCAAAGTAGGTAAGGAGAGATTTGTTTGGGGGCATGTTAGAAAAGCTCCGAGTCTTTAAGTTGGAGAAACTTTGTAAAGGAACGCAAGACATATTCCACAATTAATTGGATTAGGTGGTTGTTGTTGTTCAGTCGCACAGTCGAGTCCGACTCTTCGCGACCCCATGGACAATCTCCCGCCAGGCTCTCCTGTCTTCCGCCGTCCTCCGAAGTTGGCTCAATTTCATGTTCGTTGCATCGCTGACACTGTCTAACCATCTCATCCTTTGCCGTCCCCGTCTTCTTTGACCTTCAATCTTTCCCAGCATCAGGGTCTTTTCCAGTGAGTGCTCCCTTCTCATTTGGTGGCCAAAGTATTTGAGCTTCAGTTTCATTATCTGGCCTTCCAGGGAACAGTCAGGGTTGATTTCTTTGAGGATTGACTGATTTGTTCTTCTTGCAGTCCAAGGGACTCTCAAGAGTCTTCTCCAGCACCATAGTTCAAAAGAATCTATTCTTCGGCGCTCGGCCTTCCTTATAGTCCAACTCTCACAGCCATACATGACTACTGGGAATACCATTGCTTTGACCATGCGGACTTTTGTTGGCAGGGTGATGTCTCTACTTTTTATCATGCTGTTTAGGTTCGCCATCGCTTTCCTCCCAAGGAGCAGGCGTCTTTTAATTTCATGGCTGCAGTCACAGTCTGCGGTGATCTGGGATCCCAGGAACGTGAAGTCTGTCACTACTTCCACGACTTCCCCTTCTATTTGCCAAGGAGTGATGGGGCCGGATGCCATGATCTTAGTTTTTTTGATGTTGAGCTTCAAGCCCTCTTTTGCGCTCTCCTCTTTTACTCTGAGCAAGAGGCTCTTTAGATCCTTTTCACTTTCAGCCATTAGAGTGGTATCATCTGCATATCTGAGGTTGTTGATCTTTTCCCCAGCAATCTTAATTCCCGCTTGTGATTCATCCAGGCCAGCATTTCGCATGATGTACTCTGCATATATATTAAATAAGCAAGGCGACAATATACATCCTTGTCGTACTCCTTTTCCTATGCTGAACCAATCAGTTGTTCCATATCCGGTTCTGACTGTCGCTTCTTGGCCCTTATACAGGTTTCTCAAGAGACATGTGAGGTGGTCTGGTACTCCCATCTCTTTAAGGACCAGCCATAGTTTGTTGTGATCCACACAGTCAAAAGCTTTAGCATAGTCAATGAAGCAGAAGTAGATATTTTTCTGGTACTCTCTTGCTTTCTCCATAATCCAGCGAATGTTGGCAATTTGATCTCTAGTTCCTCTACCTCTTCGAAACCCAGCTTGTACTTCTGGTTGTTCTCTATCCACGTACTGTTGAAGCCTAGCTTGTAGGATCTTGAGCATGACCTTGCTAGCGTGTGATATGAGTGCAATTGTGCGATAGTTTGAACATTCCTTGGCGTTGCCCTTCTTTGGGATTGGAATGTATACTCATCTTTTCCAATCCTGTGGCCACTGTTGCGTTTTCCAAATTTGCTGGCAAATGGAGTGGTAGTGGATTCAAAATTCCACAGAAAAAGTTCCATGTGCATACATCTACCAGAGTCCTTCCAGAAGCCAAGAATGCATGGCTTTCAACATCCCTGGCTCCTGATTGGCTTCACAATGGTAATTATGCATGTGGGGACCTCATGGCATTTTGGTTAAGAACCTCCAATGGTATTTCAGTACCATCTATTTCAGGTTATGGATCTCTCACTTTATTTCAGCAATCTGGAACCTAATTCTAATCTCACAGGTGCACAGTCACAGTGACAAAGGTTTCATCCAAGTGGGTTTCTCTTCCATTTTTCATTCTGATTTATCTAGGGGGACAGGTGACATTTCTACCTTTTCTTTCGTTTACCTCTGTCACAACCCGCTACAACAATACTTTAGAAAATTACAGAAAAGCCATGCTTGCAAAATGTCATGATCACAAACAATCATAGAGATGGCACACTACATTTATTGCACATGTTTCCTTTCCTCTCTTCTAGCAATTGTTCTAGCAATTGTTTGGAAACTTCACAAAGACCATAAAGTGAAGGTGAGGGACTGTGCATGGTGTCTTGTACATAAATCATCCTAGAACTATTGCTTATTTGCAAGAACTAAATAAATATATATTGTGTGAGAACCAAAACCAAATGGAAATTTTTTAGTTTCTTAAAATTTAAAAATTACCAAAGTTAGTAATCTGTTGCTGTTGCTTCAGAGGATGCTTAATTGTTTCTTTCTGCCCTCCAGCATCTGGAAATCTTTCCATTGCTCCTTAAAAAAATGAAAATGTGTCCTCAGTAGCACACAACACAATGTAGCATAGGTCAGCACAGAGGGTCCAGAGACAGAAGCAAGTTAACAAAACAGATAGAACAGTTTTATTTAGACATCAGTTTATTTGGAATTAGACAATAAAATTAAAGAAAATCTCTCTACCAGGCCACCACCCCCTGTAGATGGAAAGCCAGGTCGTGACGTCACAGTAATGGCGACCAGGGTAGTCCTAGTACCCTCGTTGGTCTCTTTTGCCCGGGCTGGTTTGCAAAAACGAGGGAGGCTTTCCCCGTTTCTGAAATAAATGCAAGGAGGCACATTGAAAAGGGATCTGTGATTTATTTTTCATTTTGCCCGCATTTGCAGGTGCTTGCCTATTGGGTTTGATGTATCAGGGCATTGTCAGACTCACAGCGAACAATCAAATACACTCTTGCAGGAAGGTTTTATTTTATTGAAGCCATGAAGTACTTAGAACAACTTTTCTGTTCAGAATAACACAAAGGGCTTGAGACTGGGATAATAAAGCAAGTTAAAAATAACATGGGCCAATAGATATGATTCCCGCGCCGCCTTGAGGCTCATCTCGCGCTCAAACCTTGAGAAAGCAACTAATTACTTGAGAAAGTAGCTAATTAAACAATTCTTCTGTTCTCACACTACTGTTCATTATAGACTAAGCAAAAAGCCTCCAAAAGCGCACCACCTGTAGCTTTGGCTGATAAGGTTCCTCCATCTCTAGCCCAGTCCCCAAGATACGATAACCTAAAAATCAATGTGTGTTTTATGGAATTCGCACTTGGAGAGTTTGGCAAACAGTTTGTGCTTGTGCAACGTACTCAGAACTTCTCTCACCAACTTCACATGGGAGGTTAGATTGGGGGAATAGATTAAAATGTCATCCAAGTAAACAAGCACCCCCTTAAACAAATGTTTATGCAACACCTCGTTGATCAGATTCATAAAGACCCCCGGGGCCCCTTGAAGACCGAACGGCATCACGAGGTACTCGAACTGCCCCAATGGAGTGTTGAAGGCGGTTTTCGCTTCATCGCCTTCCTTGATGCGCACCCGGAAATAAGCGTCTCTGAGATCAAGCTTGGAAAATATTTTCCCTTTAGCCGCCTCAGCAAGTAGATCTTTAATTAGGGGCATCGGGTATGCGTTAGTGGCTGATACGGCATTCAAGTGGCTGATACGGCATCTCATATACACGGAAAAGACATATTGGCAGCTTGCTGACAGGCATCTAGTTTGAAAGGGGTATATCTGTAAGGGCTATTCTCTCTCCCGCCATTCCTGACACAAGAGTTCATGATGTCCTAAATACTAACTCTCAATAAACTGAAACTTTTGAAGGAACTGGGAACCCTGACAGGTGGATGCCTGCACACAGTTTCACAGGGCCTGTAAAAATTGAATTCTTCCACCAGGCCTTCAATTAGGAGCTACCACTAGCACCAACACATGGACAACACCTGAATTGCTAACAACTAAACAGTTACGGACCTCATGTTGAGAACAACAAGAACAGCTAATGACACGGGTATGGCCACAGTGTACTCTCTACCATCTAACATAGCCTTGGAGACGCTACCGCCATCTATATGCAACAGCACTTTACGTATAAATGTGATTGTTTGACTGAATTTTATATTTTTGCTTTGTCAATGTATCCATGTTTTACTGTATTTATTCTGTTAGTTTTTAACCTGTTGTAAGCCGCCCTGAGCCTGCCCACGTGGGGAGGGAGGAATATAAATCAAAAGTATAAATAAAAAATCTGTCCCATTTTGTCCCACAGCTGTCATTAGGGATGCCAGCCTCCAGGTGGGACCTGGGGGTTCCCCAGGAATTATAGCTCATTACGAGACGGGTGGACTCTATAGCACTGTAACCCTGCCCTCCACAGGCTTCACTCCCCACAACAGCTGCTGCCCCTCTCCTTCCTCCTCCCTCCCCTCCGGCGACATTAAAAGGGCCCTCCAGCTGATCAGCAGGAGCACATGGCACTGATCAGCTGGAGGGCCCTTTAAATCTTGCAAACCCCCCCTCTCCCTCCCCTCCTCCAAGATTTAAAAGACCTCCAGCTGATCTTGCAGGAGGTGAGGGAGAGGGGTGGCTGCCTGTTTCCCAAAGGCTTATGGGCATGCTTTTAAAAGTCTCACCATAACCTTGATGGTATACAGCAATACTGGGCTAACAGAAAGGGGGATTGTTGGAGCTGTATTGAAGGTACCGCTCTTGAGCGCTCTTCTAAGTTTTCTTGCCCTATGGAAGGGAATTCAAAAGGCCTTTAAATGCCTTCTGAAGGTAACTAAATGCCTTCTGAGTAGTCTTTTCCCAGGTCCCATGATACCTTCCCCCATTCCACAGTATTATGTAGTGGGTTGAACGCATGGCTAGGCCCTTGCAGCTCCCCTAACATGCTGCACGCCTGACTCTTACACAACTAAGACAAAGACAAACGGCCAGGAGGCCAACTATATACATATCCAGGGGACACCCCTGGATCCCATTGGGGGGTTTGAACTTCCCTCCCATGTTTCTATTGGCTCCCTGTTAGAGAGCCCAGGAGCCCAGTTCCCATTGTTCACCCAGGGTCAAGCTCTGGGTAGTCGCTGGCCCCTGGTGGCGGCCAGAGGACACAACACACAGGGAGAGGGAAACTTGAGGGCAAGCTGTGGCACTCTCACCCTGGCATGGCTGTTTGTGGGGTGGCCCCAAAATGTCCCACCATAGCTACAGACCTGTGCTGCCCACATATACAGTGCTGTCACTCCTGCAGTAATGAATTGTGGCCTCTGTAGCTCAATACCCTGTACCAGCAGAAGGGGCTCAGAAATATGGATCTCTATGTACCTTTGCAGTACCACTGCACTGTCTGGGGTCTGATGTTCTATGGCTATTGGGATATTAGTCCAGTTTGAGGTACATTTCTGCATACACATCCCTTTTTCATTCAGCACAATGGTAAGAGCATCATGGCCTACAGCAAATTTACCAGCTGCCAAAGGGACTATCAGTGGCTCCAATTGCTATCCTGTGGGGAAGCCCTTTGATATAGTACAGTAGCTCCTCTTGAAACCCACACCACACCATTGACCTTGATACATCTGGCATACTGATTTCTCCTTGTCTCTCCAGTAATGGGGCTGGAGCTGCTTCTTCACTGCTACACACATCCTTTGGACTTCTCCTTCTGTATCAGAGTGTTGCAGGTCCCAGGTGAAGACCATTTCTGTTTAAGCCTTGGAAACGCTTGTGTGCAAGGTAAAGCAGAGAGAGAGGCGAGGGTGTTGGCACTACACCAGTCAGAGCCAGTGCTGACTCATTCTGCTGGAGGCAGGCATGTTGGGTCAGCCCACTTTTTTTGGGGGGGGAGAGCTCTCTATTTAAAGCCACCAGCAGCAGCTGCATTGTGAGAGTGAGTGTGTGGCAGGCAGGCAGCAGGCGCTGGTGTGGGAATTGTTCATGGAACAGTTGGGGTTTTTTCCTTGCTCTATGGGACTGAACTGAGAGCTCCAACAGGTTTTATGGCAGCAAATATTTGAAGCAATGTCAAGGGAATATCCAGAGCTGGAGATCATTAGGAAAGGGACCAAGACTGGCTCTACCCAAAGCACACCCCTGACAACACCCAGCTACACCGGCACAGCACATTAGCAGTGAGATTTGCCCCTGGTGTATCTCACCAGCGTATCTTCAGAATATCTATATATCTAATAGTGAAAGGCGCCCCCTGCGTGCTGATACCTAAATCCGCGCATCGGGGGCACCGGGGGGGGGGGAGGGAGATTTTTGTGCACACTTGTGCACCCCAGGTGTGCACAAAAATCTAAAAACCTGAAAAAAATATTGGGGGGATACTTAAATCCCCCCAAAAGTGAAAGAGCATGCGCAGGGGACGCTCTGCGAACTCCCTCGCCGCCGCTGCTTGGGGGGGAGATCAGCGGGGCCCGAGCGGCTTGCCGGGGGGTGGGGT